AAAATCATCTGGTCCTTAGCAGGTCTTAAAATTAGGTAAATACAACCTCAGATGAACAATACTCACACCCTGGCCCCCCCACAAATTTACGGGAAAGACATTTCCACAATGATGAGGCAATCATTACTGAAGTTGATAGCTGGTTTTCCTCCAAATCTGCATACTTCTATGCAGATGGTATTAAAGGTCTGTTCCACAGATGTGAAAGTGTGTAACCTTAGGAGGTGGATATGTAGAGAAGGAAGAGTCAGTGGACTAAATTTCAGATCCCTAGCACATCTGAATCTTGGTGACGGTAAGAACTTATTGCCCTACCCTCGTATGTCGGCTAAGTTCTCATCCACGTCGTTCTACTGGAACAATTTTACTGCCTCACAGAATTACAGCAGGATGATGGATTCTTCAGGTGCTGCATCCCTCTCCCCTTTCTCCCTAATGCTTTCCCTTCCAACCCAAACCCACCCACCCACCATTTGTCTCCTTTAGCTTTCCTCTTCCTTCTTTTCATTCTTTAACTTCCTCTCTTAATCTTGTTATTCTCCACCCTTTCTAATAGACAATAAGATGATAATCTTATTAAGATCTTACCCATGCTATCATCATAGCTACTCTTATGCAATTACCAAATTCTTCTTATTCCATTTGCCTAAGTTGCACTTTCTCTATATCTTCATGACTAAATTGTCGATATGTATATCCTCTTTTACATTACAAATGTTACTTTCGGATTGGTCAATGCTAACCTTTTCCTATTCTGTTTTTTTGTAATTTGGAAATGCTGATAAATAAAGAATTTATTAAAAAAAAAAAATACTTTCTTATAATTTTTTTCCTCTTTTGTTGCATCTTAGTGCTGCTGATGTCCCTCGGGCTCTTTGCACTCATTTCCTGACTACATTCACTAAAGTGATAGCTGAAATGGCATTTCTAAGGGTGGATTTCCTGATGGTGATAACAGTTTACAACATGTCAATATGGGTGTAAATATCTTTGCAGATTTATACAAGTGTATCAAGTGACCATTTCCTTAACTGTAGCTTACCATAGGAATTATGTGCCCTCTACTGTACAATCAAATAACTTCAGTCTGAACTGATGACTCAATAAGGATAGTCAAGCGCTGCCTCATGTCATCCAAATCTGTAAAGAGAGCAAGAAATAAAAGATAACATTTTAAATTAATTTTTATTTAGAGTTACATAGTTACATAGTAGGTGAGGTTGAATAAAGACACAGGTCCATCAGGTTTAACCTATTTAGTGTGTGTGTGTGTGTGTGTGTGTATACTGCTCGGAATTTCAATAACCCTGTATGTTTTGTGAACTGAGGAACTCCTCCAAGTATTTTTTTAAGCAGTTTATGTTTTCCGCGGGTACGGCTATCTCGCTTTTTCTCCTCTCCCTGCCAACCGATGGGTGAGGTTAGCATCCCTCCTTTCTCTTCTCCTCTCACTACGCTCTGTCAGTCACTGGCAGGAAGGGAGAAATGTCCTACAGCAGGGAAAATGTTCTGTTGCATGGCTTAAAGGGCTGGCACCTGGGCCACACATGAAACTATCTGAAATAAAATCTTTGCAAGATATGGAATAGACATTTTTAAACATTTTATGCAAATTACGCCACTAAGATGGGACTCTAAGCATGAGTAATTTGTTTCTTTTAAATTTTATGACATATACTGGGTGCCTAAGCACCCTTAATGCATTTTCAGTTTTACTACCCCTTCCTGCTCTTCCTTCAGATCTACTATTATTCCAGGAGAGGCTGGAGTGCCCTACGTGAGACTCTTCACTGGAAAACAAGTTGCTTGTATTGGTTGAAACTTCCCATCTATAGAATGGTGTGGGGTTGCTGCCTTATGTACCAAGCTTAGCCATGGACTAAAGCAGAACACCAAGCCAACAGATAAATACTAGTCATGTAAATTTAGTTTCGTTCCGAATGCAAATTCGGATAAAATATCGTGGATTCCAACATATGAATGCATCCAAATGTCCAAACTCCAATGAGGCTGAATGCAAACAAATCTGAATGTTCTTTTAGCGAAATTTCAGATCATCCAAATGTCATTCAAAATGAAACTAAATTGGACACATGACTGTTTTCTGGCCAATCAGAAAGCCCCGTCTGAAACCCAAACAAAATTTCCGAAAGACCCGAATCCGAGTAATCCGCTCGGATCCAAAACCCAACTAAAGAAAAATCGAAACAAAACAAATTTTTTGCCATCTTGCATGTCTAATACTTACATACTGAATATACAGTATATCTCCTAACTTTCTGAGATAAGAAAGAGGGTCACCTTCCAGCACAAAGGGGACATTTATCAAAACTGGAGCAGACAGAATCTGGAGCAGTTGACCATCACAACCAATCAGCTTTTGTCTTCTGTTTGTTCAGCTAAGCTTTCAAAATAAAGGATAGAAGTTGACTGATTGCCAGTAATTGCTCCAAATTCTGTCTGCTGCAGTTTTGATCAATTCCTTTCAATGTATTTAGGCAATGAACACACCCTCCCCAGCCCCAGTTATGAGGACTATTAAGAATTTATCTGCCATACATTTTTTTCCCTTTATGATATATATATTATAATAACAAATAACAAATAACAAATTGAGGAGTTTTAGGCTAACTTTTAACTTATTTGTTGCAGACAGAGATTTGGCATTTTGGAATGGGCGCTTGCAGCGTAGTGTGTGTCTATAGGATATGGTTGGTGCATTTTTTTTAGGAGTAGTTTAGGAGCATAAAAATTATGCCCAAAATATCAGTGATCATTTTTCTCTGCCAAGTAATAACGCCTCGAACCAGCCAGCTGTTACTCATTAGGACAGGCTTGTTGTCATTAGGACAGGCTTGCTTAAATTTAAGGCTCTCTATTTAATATCATCTGATATTATGACCAATCATTGTCCAAGCCCTAAAAAAGCGTGAGCCATCTCTCCCGAAATGTGTTGGCTGAGTCTGTAGTTCCTAACAAAAAATGGATCAGTTACACTTGACCAATTAAATCCTTATGATTCATAGAATATCATAATATACCTAATCTTTTGCAATAGATTGTCACCTTTTCTGCCAAGAAGGAAAATGGTTCTAACAGTTCCAAAAACAGTTTTCTCATAAAAACAAAAACTGCTGTGTTAATGCTAGTGACAGACTGTATCATATATGTCATTTGTAATTTTGCCTAAAGCTGCACTTTAAATGCCTTGTGAAGTAGCACTGCGAAAATGTCTCCAGCTCTTTAACTTATTATGAAATTGAGAATACAGAGATGCTTGTTAACTCTCTTTCAGGCTTCCTGTACAAAGATGCCTCAGTATATTTCCCATGGGAACACTAGGAGGACTACAACATGAAAATGGGGCCAGAACAAGTGATATCAGAAGAGGAGGGGGGTCGGGGAGGCGAGGGAATTCTTCCTCCAAGTCCAAGAACACAACGAACCAGGGGACATCTTTGCAGCGACAGAAGAAGAGTGAAGCAAACTGCGGAGAGCTGAAGCTGGGCCCTGCTGGAAGTTCTACTTGCTGGAGCACACTGAGGAATACAGATTGCACACTTTGTAAGTCCCACACAACTACTATATGGAAAGTCCAAATATTTTTTAGTGACTGTCTCCCTTACTCCTAAATCCATATTACTATTTGCAGCAGCATGGATACTCCCCGGCAATGCATCTGAATGAGAACATCTGTCTGCATTAGATGCATAATCGGGTAAAGTGACATTTTACAGCCCCACAAAGCTAAAGCTAGCTGCCATAGTTGGATAATTAGTTGTCATAGTTAGATATAATTTAAGTAAATGTAAAACCAATCTTCAAAATGTCATAATGTATAAGCTTTAATATGTTCATCTAATTTCAAAGGCCATTTTATTATATGTGCAGCTTTTGCAGTAGGCTTTTTTATTTGGGTCCAAATCTAAAAGAACGAGGAATGTGCAACTATTAGGCCCCATTCACACCTAGGCGTATTGTAATATGCGCTTCTGTCGCGCGACCGTCACGCGTTTTTTTTTACTGCGATTCGCGGTAAAAAAGTCGCGCGACCGTTGCGCGATTCCAAAGGCTACTTGGCAGTATCCAAATGGAAAACGCCCTACAAAACGGCCCAAAGTAGTCCCGGGACCTTTTCAGGCGTGGGCCGTTTTGTAGGGCGTTAGGGACGGGCGGAAATACGCCTAGGTGGGAACGAGGGCATTGACTACAATGCAATTTATATTTTTGACCGTTTTGTAGAGCGTTCGTCGAGCGTAGAACGCCCTACAAAACGGTCAGGTGTGAACGCAGCCTTAGTGTCCCTAGCTCTCAGACTCACTGTCAAACAAACTTGTCATTGTTATTGTCAAGCTAAACTCAGTCTGGGCATCTAAGCATCAAGGAACTGTGGTCTCACGAAAGGGTTAAGGCGACACTTTCACCAAGCACAACATACCTGTTAAAAGAAGAATAAATTAGTATACCCTTCTGCATGTTCCAGTATTCTGCTGTTTCACAGCCATTGGGTCACATACATGTTACTCCCACCTCCTGGCAGAGGGGAATATTAGCAGCGATAGGCAAAGTTTAACCAGTCACTTTAATTGTACAAGTCGTGAAACACCTGAAAAGAGCGACAGGGCGTTTGGCTTCAGAAGAGGGACTGTTCCTTTAAAACAAGCACAGTTTGGGTATGTATGACCAAAAGCATTAAATTGCGGGGAGGGGGGGGATAGCTCTGGGCAAAATGACTACAAATGGCAAAAACACAGGAACAGTATGATTGTACTTATATATTTGAGCCCCTTGGGTGGAAAATACAAACACTAAAAAGCAAGCAGTCAACAACACAAATCCTCTGGGGGCCTGGGCTGTAGAAGTGCAGGCAGCTCATTACACTTATCTCTCAAATCACAACATTGTATTCCCTGTAGTACAGAGGTTGCTGCATACTGATTTTTTTTTCAGTGATGCCTGTCAGGGGTTAAATTCCATGTTTTGCAGATGTGGAAAGGAGTGTGAGGCTGTTTAGGAGACCAACAGAAGCGCCAACATGTCCGTGCAGCAATACGTCACCCTGGATGATGGGAACAAAATCCCAGTTATTGGATTTGGGACGTACGCCCCTGAAACGGTAAGTGTGACAAGTTTTGCCTTTTCATGCTTCATCATCATGCATCGCACCGGCCATCAATGTGGGGTGTAGCACTGAATGATATTGCAGGATTAATATTAACAATTGAACTGCACTAGGATGTGAAGTAGTATTCTTTTTTTTTTTTTCCATAATAGTGTTTATTGAGAGCATAAAGAATACAGCAGTAACATGTATACATGACGGAGGGGGGGTGGTGACCCGGCGGCCGCCGGGACCCCTACCCCTCTGCTTGCCGTTGGCCGGGCTGAAGACTGGAGATAGGGAGTCGTCACCTGGGTCTGGATCAAACCATCCATCCGGCGGGAGGAATTCGGCGTACCATTCCGGGAGGTGAAGGTGAGGTAGGTTGAGCTGGTCGCAAAACGAGTGAAGTAGTATTCTTATCACGGCAAGCTGCAACACCCACAAAAGTGTGTACACTGCCACAATATTAATGGGTCACCTGTGTTGCATTGTGCCTAACAAACATTTATGTGCGACAAAAACAAATCACTTTGTATATAAGCAACAGTGTAATTACTTCATATGCCTCATAAAAGTGCAAAAATAAAGTGCCAAATTATATGAATATATGTATTTAAATAAAGTGCCAATATATAATTTGCCAAGTGTCTGTATTACTTAGTACTTATAATAACTGTGAATCCAACAGGATAAATTACTTTGCTCATCCAACCATATACAGTATATACACAGTGCATAAAACTAGGGATGCACCGATACTTTGAGTACCAGCGCAGATACTTGGCATTTTCATGAGAACTGCCCGGGTTGCAGCGGTTGCAGCTGGGACCTGGCTCTGGCGCTCCACCACTGTCCTGAAATCATTAGTCTCTATTGTTTTAGAAAAACTGTCACATTGCAATAAAATTTTTTTATCAGTACTTGTACTTGCAAAACTAGTATTGGTGCATCTCTTTATATATATTTATAAAAACAAAATCATACATGAAAACAGAGATGTACAAATCCCAGGAGCTCCGTGTGCTCCTTACTAATGACAGCGGCCCCCTAACTTTTGAATTTTTCTCTAGTCTAGTCTTGGAGCTTGAAAAGTATCTGTACATGTACTAGTACCGAGTACAGTGCTTGGTATCGGTGCATCCCTACATAAAAGTATAATATAGTGCTTCCAACACTGAATGTGAAATACAAGTCAATTGTATAAATAGTCCAGCGGCAAGTGAAAGAAGCTTCTATCCCAAAAGTCACACCGTGCTTTTCTTCTTTGTGGTTGTGCTCTCTTACTCCAAGAAAGTGCGACAGTGCTCCTTATTGCTCTCTAATGCACTCACCAGATGCTGTGCATACAAAAACATCATCCCTTTCGTTTCCTTCTTTTCGATAATATCCTATTAGGAATGTTTTGTTTTTTTAAATCCACTGCTCTCTACCTCCGTTCTGTCCTCAGTACATATCTCCTTCTCACTGGCAGCCCGATCAATGCTTAAAAGAGAACTATAAGGTGAGTGCTTTTCACTCACCTCATAGTTCAAGCCGACCTGTGACAATGAGACTGTCACAGGTCGGCTCAGTAGATCGGGAGGTGAGGGAACACATATCGGCGTTCGCTCACCTCTCGATCCTGTCACGGCTCTCTGCTGTGACAGGGGAGGAGCTGGATTCCCCCCTCCCCGCTCCGATCCGCCAGCGCTGACTGGCGGAACGGACGGGGGAGGGGGCGGGTACAGCTGGCTCTGCCTCTACATAGGCAGAGCCAGCTGTCAGTCACGCAGCTGGGCGGAACCCGGCACAATTGTCGGGATCCGCTTCAGCTGCGGCGTCTCAGTATACCGCGAGCTACAGATCGCGGTATACTGAGCCTAGGGTGACGGGAGAACGCTAGTTTGTGTCCACCTGTTACCCGAAGGAGAACTATGGGGAAAAGCCTTAACCCCATAGTTCTCCTTTAAATCCACTCATAATCTCCTTTTCCTCCTTTTTTCTTAAACTCACACCATGTAGCTCAAACAGAAGAGTAACAATCTCTCATTGAGCAATATCTCCGAAAAACAATTTAATAGATAAAAAATACACTTACAAACAATAGGATAAAATCAAGCTCAGCATTCTCCTTATAACGGGTGCATCCGACAGTGTTAAGCCTTGCAGGATTGTACACGGCTTCTTCACTCCAGATTTGCTGTTGAGCATTTCCCTATAAATACCAAAACCAATAAATCCGACTTAAGCTGATCCAGGGGAAAGCAAAAAATGTTTAAAATGCAATGCAGTTTGCTCTAATAGGAAGAAAACTGCCTCCTGATCCCCAGAAGCTATCAGATACTGCCCCTATCTACAGTGTTCTTTCTTGTTAGTGTTATCAGCTAGTTATATTTTGCACATTTAGAAACACATCCAACCTTTTTTGAAGCAATCTAATAAGATGACTAGAACGTGTGAAAGACTATTCCACATTTTCACAGGTTAAGGGTCTAAAAGTCTTTCCAGATGAAGAGGTTCAACTTCTAAAGGGGCCCAGACAGCCTGGGGGGCCCGCCCGGGACCCTTTCATGGTGACAGGTGAGGAGGGGGCCGGGCCCCATCGGACCCGCTGCTCTTCTGATCTCCGACTGTCCGGAAGTGACATTGCGTCACTTCCAGCCAGTCCGGCGGCAGAGGAGGCCAGGTGAATAGGCACCATGAGCAGCTAAGAGGAGCTGGGAGGGAGGGAGATGCATCCCTGACCAGCCCACCTGAGGCCCTGCAGAGCCCACCATAGAGAGTATCAAATGGGCTGTGCAGCATCTATGGTGGGCTCTGCAGGGTCACTCTCAGGTATGGGTGGGTTCTCAGGTGGGTCCTGCGTCCAGCGCGTCGGGGGGCCCGGCCTAAAGCCGTGTAAGGGGCCCTAAAATTTCTGATGGCTGCCCTGCCCCCAGGGAAATAAAGTGTCCCATTGTTATTTGAAATGACCTGTAAGTGAACACGTTTTCATCAAGTTTACAATATGTACCATTTATAGAACAGTTCCAGGTGTGCTGTTATATCTATTGTATTAAAATATGACAATGCACAGCCACGGTTAATATTCATATTGCTGTGAATTGAGAATTACATACTGTCATCTTTTGGGCATTTTTTATTTTTCTGTGTTCCCTTCCATTTTATTATGCATTTCCCCTTTCTTCTCACATTGTCTTTATGGCATAAAAATGGCTGCTTCTCTCATGGCCACATGATAATATGCTAGCATGGGGGGAAACATTACCATGTTTTGACTTGCAAATAATGTCTTTCCAATCATCTGCTACATCCTGTTGTCTGCTGCAACCTGCTGCATATAATAAAGAGCTTTGTGGATGAAAAGGTATTTGGTGAGTTCAGCTGACTGATAAGGATTGTCTGCGGTGATGGTATCTGCTTATACAGGCCAGGCATAGAAGTCTCAGTAAGGGAGAAATCACTAATACAACAATCAGAGTCAGAATACCAGGGGTAGCCACTGCACTCTATTTGTAGGGTAAATGCCCGGGTGCTCATCCAAAAAATGTATCCATACAAATCCAAAATAAGCATGGAGGCATTTTATTGTCAATGTTTTTATGGAGCTCAGTCTATCTTTATCAAAACACTGGTCTTGGTGTCTTGATGAAGATGGGCTGAGCTGTGTCAAAACATTGACAGTAAAATTCTGATGCTTTGACTTTTCTACAAGACCCACGAGTGCCTCTGTGTCTACTTTGGATTTGTATAGACCACTTATATTCAGTATGAGCCCACGGTGATCATGACCATCCTTAATCATCTCTTCTTAAGAAAGGAATCAGTTCAGAATTCAGTTCAGTAAAAGTAGACCGGAACTCAAAACCTTTTTTTTCCTTTTTAGTTTTAGTGTAAAGAGGGATTATAACCCCTGTCGGCATTTTCTTGCCATCTGTCACCCACTGGTGAGATCTCCCTTCATGTCCTGTCCAAAATCCACAGCAAGGAGTGAGAGGAAATCCCTCCAAAGAAAGAGAAATCCCTGGTGATCATCAGGGTCCCCATAACTTATGTCCCCACTGAAAGCTATCCCATCTTTTCCTGTTCTGGTGACCATCCAAAATTTGGGATTTTCTTTCACTTTACCTTTCAATGATCACGATCATCAAAACAAATAGAGAGGGTGAATCTCCCTAACAGGGACACAGACAGCAATAAAAACCTGACAGATGTTCTAATTCCTCTCCACTCATAGTTGAGCTCCTCTATACCTCTTATGAGTTTAGTTGCTCTTCTCTGCACTCTCTCCTATTCCCCAACATCATTTATGTGAGCTGGTACCCAAAACGGAACTGCATATTCCAGATGAGGTCTTACTAATGCTTTTTTGCACAGGGACAGGATTTTTAATACAAGAAAGTATATTTCTTGCACCAGCGGTTGCACATGACTATTGTATGCTGTCCTGAAGTCTATGATCTACTAAGACACCCAGATCCTTCTCCATCATTGACCCTCCCAGTTTTAGTTCATTACTGACTGAACCCGTCTAAAACACATGTGAATGTACAGCAGTGATCTATGAATTATTGCCCGCAGTCTAGTGTGTGACTGGCATAGCATAGTTCCTAAAAAAAAGGCAAAAAAGATTTAGCTGGATTTGTCCTTTAACCACTTGCTGACCGGGGTGTTTACACCAATGGTGTATTCTGGTTTGGGGCTGCCCTAGGCAAGACACAACTCGGCGCCCCCCCACACACACTAAATGTACCCCACAGGTGGGCTCTGCAGGGTTTGTGGTGGGCTTTGCAGGCTGCCGAGCCCCCTATGGATCCTGCAAAGCCCCCCACAGATCCTGCAGGATCTCAGGAAGGCTCTGCAGGATCTGTGGTGGGCTTTACAGGCTGCAGAGCCCCCTATGGATCCTGCAAAAGCCCCCCTGAGCCCCTGCAAAGCCCCCCACAGATCCTGCAGGATCTCAGGAAGGCTCTGCAGGATCGGTGGTGGGCTTTGCAGGCAGCGGAGCCCCCTATGGATTCTGCAAAGCCCAC